CTCCACAGGCAGGTAAAACAAAGTAAAATCAAATGCAAGGGAACTTTGTTTTTGGCCTTGAATTTACTCAAAAATTTTCCTCCTCCTTCATAAATAAGAAAAAGTACTCTTCTAGCAATACAAGAAATGTAAGAGATTACAGCAAGTGTGTTTTCACCCATATCTCATTTCCCAAGCCACAGAAAGGCAATTTTGAGAAACGTTTCAAGGGCAGGCTGTATTCTCTGATCCTGAATGAATAAAGGATGTGGGAGGGTGGGAGGAATTCTAAATTCACTACTTTATGAATGTCCCTGCCCAGTGTGATCATTTACAGCCCTAAGCACATCAACTGTTATCCTGGAATGCTCTCACATCTGCATGACACCACAGAAGGTTTCCAGAAGTTTGAGACAGGAAATGCTAATCCCCTTCCTTCCTACTAAATAGATTTCCAATAAGAGCCCATTGATTAACATTTTTCTAATGCTGCCATATCTGAAACACATGTTAGCACTAGACTGTGCAAAGTTTTTGTTCTAGAACTAAAAATCTTATCCACTCCCAACTCCTATCAAGATTTTAAGACCATTCAAATGAAGAACTGCATTTGCTATTTTTGTCTATGATCCCTTTTGTGCAAGGCACTATACTGGGCCCACAAAACTCACTTAAGATACCTAACCACATTAATTCAGGTACCTGAAGAGACCAAATAACAACAATCTCACCCTGGTTTGGAGAAATAAAATTACATGGCTGGGGGTGGGGCGAGGGAGAAGGGGGAATGTAACAAGAGATGAACCATGAGAGGGTGGAAAATTTCTAAAGGTGGAAAAATTAAGTAAGTACTGAACAGCTAAACAGCACTAAGTTAATTGCTATCAAATAGTGATAAAACGCAACTGCACCTGCACTATATCTTATAAACACATTAGGTAAGCCTTTGTGTTAAAAATTCCAAGATTACTATGTGCTCTACCAATAAATACAGACTAAATATAATAGATGAGCCAAGATGACAAGTATTTAAATATGAAAACAAAAAACTTTGTGTACAGAAACTGTATCTGGAGACAGGTTAAGTGATACTTGAGAAGGCAGTGATATCTGTGTTTATTGGGAGGAAGAGTAAATGAATCAGTATTTCTGTCACAATCTTTTCAAGTATTTCAGGAACAAATCCAGACTATGTGACAGGCTTCTAACTTTAAAGCAATGCTTGAAGATTATGTCCTTATTTTAAAAGGATGGGACCTTGGCTATTTGATATAGGCTAAAAGGGTACCCCCTGTGTCTCTTCCTTCAGGATAATAATGATTAATGTAGAGCTATAAGTTTAGTTCCCTCCCAAAATAAGTAACAGCAGACTGCAGATGTCATCATGATATATGTTCTCAACTGCTGGCAGTACAGGCATTTACTGACCAATACCACAAAAAATTCTGTAAGTATAAATCTAACCAAGGAAGTGAAAGACCTATGCCCTGAAAACTGCAAGACACTCTAAAGAGGACACTAAGAAATGGAAACTCATCCCATACTCATGGCTAGGAAGAATTAATATTGTCAAAATGGCCATCCTGCCCAAAGCAATCTACAGATTCAATGCAATCCCTATCAAATTACCAACAGCCTTCTTCAACGAACTGGAACAAATAGTTCAAAAATTCATATGGAAACACCAAAGACCCCAAATAGCCAAAGCAATCCTGAGAAGGAAGAATAAAATGGGGGGGATCTCGCTCCCCAACTTCATGCTCTACTACAAAGCCACAGTAATCAAGACAATTTGGTATGGGCACAAGAACAGAGCCACAGACCAGTGGAACAGAATAGAGACTCCAGACATTAACCCAAATGTATATGGTCATTAATATACAATAAAGGAGCCATGGACATATAATGGGGAAATGACAGCCTCTTCAATAGTTGGTGTTGCCAAAACTGGACAGTTACATGTAAGAGAATGAAACTGGATCACTGTCTAACCCCATACACAAAAGTAAATTCAAAATGGATCAAAGACCTTAATGTAGTCCTGAAACCATAAAACTCTTAGGAAAAAACATAGGCAAAAATCTCTTGGACATAAACATGAGCAACTTCTTCATAAACATACCTCCCCGGGCAAGGGAAACAAAAGCAAAAATGAACAAGTGGGCCTATATCAAGTTAAAAAGCTTCTGTACAGCAAAGGACACCATCAATAAACAAAACGGCATCCTACAGTATGGGAGAATATATCCATAAATGACAGATCCGATAAAGGGTTGGCATCCAAAATATATAAAGAGCTCATGCACCTCAACAAACAAAAAGCAAACAAGCCAATTAAAAAATGGGCAGAGGAGCTGAATAGACAGTTCTCCAAAGAAATTCAGATGGCCAACAGACACATGAAAAGATGCTCCACATTGCTAGTCATCAGAGAAATGCAAATTAAAACCACAATGAGATATCACCTCACACCAGTAAGGATCACCACCATCCAAAAGACAGACAACAACAAATGCTGGCGAGGTTGTGGAGAAAGGGGAACCCTCGTACACTGCTGGTGGGAATGTAAATTAGTTCAACCACTGTGGAAAGCAGTATGGAGGTTCCTCAAAATGCTCAAAATCGACTTACCATTTGACCCAGGAATTCCACTCCTAGGAATTTACCCTAAGAATGCAGCACTCAGGTTTGAAAAACACAGATGCACCCCTAT